ACACACACACACGCACACACACATACACACACACACACACCACATACATCACACACATACACACACGCACACACACACACACACACACACACACACGAGAGACTGGGTGTCTCTAACTAGACGAGGCTGGCTTGACGCTCCTGCTCCTGCTGCTTCAGGCTCACACGTGTTGGAATTACAAGCTGGCCCCACCACAGCTGCACATTCTACGAGAATCTAATAGCACATGCTGTTTTCTGTCTGTGCTTTATACTTCAAACTTGGGCCACCTGTCCCATGGGGGCCATTTCCCTGTTGAGACTATGTAACTGCCCGTGTTGGGGTTCCCCCAACCCACAGCACCTGTCAGTCACACTCCTGCACGGCTGACTGGCTGTCTAGTACCCTGGAGATTGTTTGCAGCTGGGCGTCCTGTGACTAGTTCTACACACCCTGGTATGTCGTTTGTGTGGATAGGGTCTTCAGAGTACAGAGAGGCACTGTGGGGGTCACAGCCTTCAGAACCTGCCCAGGGCTGTAGAGACAACTCATTGCTTTTGAGAGCTATCTATTCCTGCAGAGGACTTGGGTTTTGTTTCCAGAACCCATATGACAGCTCACAGCCATCTGTAACTCCAGTTCCAGGGGCTCCAGTGCCCTCTTCTGGCACTGAGGGTGATGTACAGATGGGCTGCACAAACATACAGGCAGGCAAACATACAGACACATACATACTTTAGGAAACCAACCCTGCTTAGGTTTGACATTGGCTGCACCATCTTGCTTTCCCTCCTGCACAGGATGAAGAGTGTGCTGAAAGCCCCTCATTGTCCCCAGACATTCATCTTTACAGGTCACAGTGATGTTCACCCTTTGATGGCCAGGGTGGCCTCTTTCTGTATGCACAGCGGGATGGTGGCACAACAAGATGTTTGTTCAAGGTCTATGCACTGTCCCTGCAGAAAATGCTAGGGAAGAAGTGTGGGAGGGAGAAAGGATACAAAGAGCCATCTGGGTAGGGAACACCTGGGCTGGAGACTGGGGACAAGTCCATGTGGCTGACCGGAGCTAGGCATGGCCCTGCTATTCTACAGAGAATGTGTCTGGTAGCCTGGTCATAAACTCTGTACCTCTGATGGATCCCAGGCTGGATTTCCTGAGTGATGAGAATTCACCTGACAAGTCTCTATCACCTGAAGAGGTGACCGTGGGAAAGAAATACAGAAAGCACACAAGCGTCCAGCACCTCCAAACCTTAGCTTAGCCGGTATTATCTCCATCATCTGAAACTCATAATCTGCCGTGCTCAGTCTGCTTAGTAAGGCCTGTTCTGCGGACCCCAAGGGGTGAAGCCCACGGTGACAGGCAGAGCATTTCGGGCTGAGGGGACGGGAGGCTTAATAAAGAGAGCACATGGCACTGTGGAACAGCAAGGAGCATCACATCAGGGAAGGAGGCTGAACTGCAGAGTGGATGAAGTCTGTCAGTGTGGCTGTTCGGATGAGGACACAGGAGCCCATATGAACTACTGCCCCCGGGGCGGGGGGGCATGATAAGGACTGTCACTCTCTGAGTGCCACAGAAGCCCCTGAAGGGACTGAAGATATATTTGGGCCACCTTGCTGAGAATGGTCCACAGGGCACCGAGACATTTGCTGTGAGCCCTGGAGATACGGGTTCCTGGGTGGTATGGATGAGGAGCTAGGGAGGGCCAGATGTGGGGCCGAGCTGAGAGAACAGCTGGGTGTCGGGTCTGACTCCACTTGCCTGTGCACCCGTGAGGCCACAATACAGCCTCTGCCTGGGGCCTACCGGTCTGTGGCTAAACTCTGGAGCTGCTGGGTCACTCTGGACATCAGGTCTGGACAGCTGCTCTGGGCTCAATAAAGCGTCCACTGGAGTCCTGTGCTAGGTGGGCCTTTTGAAGGCAATTGCTCAGGAAGTTACCAGTGAGTTTTCCTCACCCTGAGCCCGCTAGAGCTTGTTTCTGTCCACTTCAGTAGCTCCTGGGCCTATGCTGTCCTTCTGGAGCCAGTAAGGGACAAGGGCTGTCTGAGAGGGATGGCTTGTCCCAACATCTCCATGGAGCTTCTGTTCCCAGCATTCCATAGTTCCATTAGAAGGCCGGCTGCCACGGAGTACCATGGTTGTGGGGGACACAGACACTGCACTGGCAAGTAGGTGGCTGCCTCTCCCACACACTTCGCAGGGGGCCCTAGGACCATGGGGAGCAGGCTGACAGAGGCGTTTGGGGAGTAGCAAGCTATTAGAACTCGTGTGGGCCTCTTCCCTTTCCTGCTCTGATGTCAGTGAGGATGATGACGGTGACACCGTATCCCACAGCACACTGGAGGGCGGAGTGAAGGAAGACCAGGCACAGCCACTGAGAGAACTGGGACGTGTCACCACTGGAGAAAGGGAGCAAAGGGATAGCGATGATACCAGCGACTCCAGGAGGAAAAGGTAACAGCCAAGCCAGCTGAGTTGACAGAGTGTCTACCCCTGGGACGCTCACAATTCCACAGCTGGGCAAGACTCTAAGAGCCCTGTAGTTAGGGCATGAGACAAGAAATGTAGCTGACTCTAGTCGGAAGAACTGGGGTGACCTTGTCCTAGAACCCTCCAACGTTCAGCCTGACAGACCTGGGAAGTGTCCCCAGGAGGGAACATGTTCTTTCTTTCTTTTTTTTTAAAATGGGTTATTTTTATTTTGCATGAATTGATGTTTTTCCTGCATGTGTGTCTGTGTGAAGGTATTGGGTCTCCTGAATCAGGAGTTACAGTTGTGAGCTGCCATGTGGGTGCAGGGAATCGAACCCTGGTCCTCTGGAAGAACAGCCAGTGCTTTTAACTGCTGAGCCATCTCTCCAGCCCCGGGAATATGTTCTTAACATTTTAATTTCATATTTTTTTGTTTTGTTCTGTTCAAGACATGGTTTCTCTGTGTAGCCTGGCCCATCCTGGAACTCACCCTGTAGACCAGGCTGGCCTACAACTTAAAGAGATCCACCTGCTTCTGCCTCTCTTGAGTATTGGGACTAAAGGCATGTGCCACCCCTGCTTGCCTGATTTTTATTTTACATATTTTTAAAAAGATTATATTTTAATGATTACACTGTAGCTGTTTTCAGACATACATGAAGAGGGCACCAGATCCCATTACAGATGTTTGTGAGCCACCATGTGGGTGCTGGGAATTGAACTCAGGACTTCTGGAAGAGCAGCCAGTTCTCTTAACCGCTGAGCCATCTCTCTAGCCCCTTTTTATTTTATTTTATTTTATTTTATTTTATTTTATTTTATTTTATT